ATGTTTAGGTGCCCAGCCAACTACCAAAAAAAAAAAATTGTGTCTAATTGTAAATGCACATTGATGGTGCCAACACCTATAGATACGTCTCTTTTAAGTTAACCTATAGTCTTTAGGTTGAGCTGAAATAAAATTTCTTCCTCAACCCTCTCATCCCATTTTCTCTGGGTGAACTATGTTCTATATCTGCATCCTAACGAATGAATAAACTAATAAGTAAACATGGCACTCGTGTACACATCTGTCATTAAGAGCCTTATAAAACTGTTCCAAAATAAGTTCTAAAAATAATGTTTACTAGTTTATAAAATGTGCACGTGTTTATCTGTTAGAGCCCAACGGGAAGCAGATGCATGCTCACAGTAGGCGATTGAGGAGAAGAGAATAAATAAACTATTTGCAAAAGTGTGAGCGGCATTTAGAAAACCAGCAAGGGCTGGCACAGGGGCTAGCAGCACTCAGGGGGTGTTATCACCCCTGGACCTGAAGACAGACAGGCATGGCCTCTGCTAGGGGACAGCAAGGAAAAGGCCCTGGGGCACAATACCCTGACCAGGGCCCGGACTAGGTAAGACAAGTGAGGCTGAGGCACTCAACTTGGACAATTTAAGGGAGCCCCAAACAATTCAGTAATCAATATAAAATAATGTTTTAATGCAATATTTTTAAAAATCAAAATTAATGCCAAAAATCTGAAGTGAACAAAAATAAAGGCCAGCCAGTAACAGTGCCCTGCTGAGCAGTACTGGGACCTGAGGCAAAAGGAAAAATGAGTGATACTAGTCAAGACACTGACTGCAATCTCCTCTTTCCTGCCTCTTTTGTGTGTGTCCCCCACTGGCTAACTCAAAAAGAAAAAAAAAAAAATAAAGTCCAGGGAAGGCAAGGGAGCCATCATTGTCTTATGCCATACAGGTGGCTTCCCTAGGGATATAGCTGAGTAAAGGAAAGTGGAAATCAGATCTGGAGATGATCTGGCACCACAAAGTCTGCTACATCCACCACAGTTTCCTGCATCTACCACACTAGCAATGCCTGGTGGTCACAGGCATCTGAAGTCAGCTCTAATACAGCACTGGCTTCCCTNCTAGCAATGCCTGGTGGTCACAGGCATCTGAAGTCAGCTCTAATACAGCACTGGCTTCCCTCTTTTTTTACCATGTTTCCTCCCAAGGGCCATAGCCACATTAAAGGGTTATATGCACTAAGGTACCGGTACTCTGCCACTAGTGTGAGCCTACTCGTGTGAATGTGAACAGAACGTGGCATTGTGCATTCAATCAGCAAATCTAATAAATGCCTGCTCGGGCTGAACCCAAGCCAGGCTGTCAAGCAGACAGTCAACAGTGATTCCCAGGGCAGTGTGCACACCGCCACGACTGGGGATGCCTTCTCATAACAGTTCTGTGTTTATTTTCATGTTAATAGAAAAAACCAAGGAGCACATCAAGCATTAGATTTCATGGATATCAAATTGAAATAAATGTATTCAAGTAAATAGACGTGAGTCTAGTTTTCAAAGCTATTTAGAAAGTAGCAGTTCAAACTCTATGATTACTAGAGGTGGGAAAAGGGGAGAGAGAAGGGGATTAGGGAGATATTGGTTATGGGCACAAAGAATAATTACGATCTGTAATCATGCATATGCCAATAATAATGATTTGATTTAATCATCACAAATTGTACACAAGTAATAACAGTCAACACTGTACCCCAAAAATATGTATAATCAATTATGCTTCAATTTAAAAAAGAAAAGAAAATAGCAATTCAAGCAGAACGCAGAAAACTGTGACGGGGTGGGCAAGTGACTGAATGTGGGAAGGACAGCGCTCAGCGCACCCTTGTAACTTATTGACTAGTTGGAGTATAGCAGGTGAACCAGGTACACATTAGTGGACTATGAGCAGGTGAGAGAGTTGGGCCAGGCGATTGGTGTAGACAGTTGCTGCTCCTTCCTGCTGTCCTTCCAGCTCCGCAGAGGAGTTGGGGTCACCCTCACCCGATTCTCTCCCTCCCACAGGTCAACGCCGGGCCAATGGCCTATGCACGAGCTTTCCTTGAAGAAACCAATGCAAAGAAATACCCTGACAACCAAGTAAAGCTTCTGAAGGAAATCTTCAGGTAAGCTTCTCTTTGCTGGAATGTTCTTTC